GGCCAGCGGGTAGAGGCGGCTGAGACACCAGTCGTCCACGTGGGGGCAGCGCTGTAGCGACAAGGACTGGAGCTCCCTCAGGGCCACTGCAGGGGAGAGGGCGATGGCACCAGGGCACGAAAGGGAACGTGAAGTCTCCCCCACCCCACCCTGACCCACGCACAGAGGTTGCCCAGGCCTTCGTAGCTGATGGTACAGCCGCTGGCGTCGACCGCCTCCACAGGCACCTGGAACCTGAAGACCAGAGAGGCGCGGCCTTGCCCACGGGGCCCCATCCACTCCTCGCCCTGAAACCTGGAAGAGGGGGGCCAGCGGGAGCATCAGCAGGGTACTCTCCATTCTCCGGGTGTCGGCCCACCTACGCCCCCTCGGCCCAGGACTCAGGGCTTCACGTGGCTGGTCTCCGTCCCGGCAACGGTGAAAGGCTGCAAGTTTACAAACCTGGATCTGAGAGAAGAGCTGTGGTGAAAGAAGCCTCACAGATGAGCAAAAGTTGGGACAGTTCCAGACACTTTCTAAGGAAGGTGCTGGAACAAGTGCTCAAACCAAGTGAAAATTTATTCTTTTTAAGATTTTTACTTTATGCATACAGAACTGGGGTGTAGGCCAGAGGTGCAGGGGGTGAGAAGATTTACCAGAGACAGAGTGGGGAGCAGAACAGGCAGCTCTACTGAAATCCACTGCTGAGGGGAGCAGCGGGGAGAGAGGGGAGGTCTGCTGCGCCCTGGGGGTCGGCTCTTTGGCCGGGGATCAAATCCAGAACTCATGTCACAGTGGCTGGTGACAGCTTAATAGTGCTGAGACTTTAACCCCTGCACACCTTGGAGGTCTCCCAAGTGATGAATTTAATAGGAACAAAGATAAGAGATAGAGGAAGTCTATAGACTTGTATTTTTAAAAAAAGGATGGGGGGAGGAGATAAGGGTGCAGGAAGGAAGAAAGGGGGAAGGAAGGAAGAAATGTACCTGTGAGCTCAAGCGCTGATGTTTAGTCTGAAGTCTCTTAGAGTCTCTAGGACAAGTCCTGCAGGTTACATGTGAACCCCCCCTCTTTACAGATGACAAAACTGAAGCTCAGGAACATGCTCCACATTGCACAGTGAGCAGGGAGTGGGCAGGGCACCCCTGGGCCACCCCCCACCCATTCCGACACCTTTGCCGTCATACTTGACCGAGCCTCCCTGCTTCAGGATGAAATGAGCAGCCGCGATGTCTGGGCCATAGTGCTCCTTGATGTGGGGTAAGGCTCTGGAGGAACAAGAATGACAGAGAGGCCCTGAGCCCGGAACACCAGCCCTCACCCTGCCTGGCTGCTAATGAGAAGGTCACTGACAAAGACTGGCAGCTCTCACAGAGGGACAGGTTGGCCGTAAGTATCTACTGAGTGTCTATTAAGTAGGCACAGGGCAGCAGTGACCAAGGTGGTTAACTGTCCCCGCCCTTAGGAAATTTTACAGGAGGAACAGATAACCAACCAGGAAACAATGGCAAATTGCAGAGTATCAATTCCTGGGAGCATAACAGAGAGGACTGTTAATAGGAATGGCTTGGGTCATGGGTGTGGCTGGAGGATGCTAATTTCGTGTGGATATTAAAAAAATGCTCCTTCGAGGAGGTGACACTTAAAATAGAAATCTGCCCGCTAGGCCAAGGGACCAAGTGCGAAGTCTTGGCAGCTTAAATGAGGATGGTCAAATTAGCACTGAGATCTCCACATTGGGGTGCCCCTGGGAGGGGCCTCAGCAGCGGGCAGGTCTTAGGCCTTGGAATTTGACTATTATTCCCACTGTAATCAGAGAACATTTGATGATTTTAACCCAAGGGGTAATGTTATCTTACTCTCCAGAGTCCTGGGCTGCCTTATAGCCTACAAAAGCCTCTGGGGGGCAGCAGGTGACAGGAAATTGCTGCAGTCACCTAGTCATAAAATGATGGGGCCCAGACCAGACCACAAATGAGGAGCTGCAATGGCCTGGATGTGGGGGGCAGGGAAGCAAAGAGGAATTGGGATGGAAACTTAGAACTTGGCTTGAACAAGGGGGCGGTACTGTGATATTCACTTGGACGGGGAAGGTTGGGGGGTGAGTTTTTTGCAGGGGGAAATCAAGAGTTGGTGTTAACCATGTAAGGCTTGAGGTGCCAGCTAGCCACGAGAAGATATGGGCAGAGGTTGCCTGTGTGAGGTAGAATCCTCAGGAAGGGTGTGGCCTGGAGACAGAGGCAAGAGTCTATAGGCAGGTTCTGGGCACAGGTCTGCCTGGGAGAAGCAAGGGCAGGGTCTGGGTTGTGACTGGTGAGGCCGAAGCAGCAGGGTCTGGCATGCTTGGGGTTCTCACCGATTCTTCTGGTGCACGGTTGACACCTGCACTTGGAGCAGATACTCCCTCAGAGCCTTCATGTCATAGAAGCAGTCTGTCAGGAACCGGAGCAGTGTTCTCTTCTGACTTCCCTCTGGGTTCGCTGTGCTGCTCAGGCCACGAATGCTCCTGGTACCTCCATTCCAGACTGGGGCCACCAGGTGCAGGGACTGGGGAGGAGAATGGAGGGTTTGAGCCTAGAGCCTCCTGTCACAGGGAGTAGGATCTCCCTGTTCTTGCTCCACATCACACCCCTACTCAATGCTTCTGGGCTTACTCAGTTTTCTGTTCTGAAATTCCAAATTCTGCCTTTAGGATTCCCAAAACTTCCCCAGATTTTTCTGAATTCCTTCCCCTTAGCACTAAAATTCTTTCTTGTTTTTCTCAAATTCTCTAATTGTCTTTTGCTCCCAACCTCTTACTTTAATCTTGGCTAAATTTATTCTTTGATTTTACCCAATTCTTCCTAAAGTATTTTCATGAACATGGCAAATTCCCCATCCCCGTCCTTCCCCTGGACTCCCAAATTCACGTCTTGGTTCCTGTCTTCCTGTTCCCTATCATCTATGTGGTTTTCAGTCAAAATTCCCAACATTCCCAACTGCCCTCAAGTTTCCCTCGCCTGTATCCTTAGGTCTCCAGACGTCAAATCCAGTTCCCGGACCCGCCCCTTCTAGCTCCCCTCCCCTCGCCGGGCCCACGCCCTCCTGCCCATCAACTCCTCGCGATCGGGTCCCTTCCTCTGATTGGCTGGATGCGCCACCTTCCGCAGTACTCCCTGCTTCCCCATTGGTGTCTTTCCATGGCTCCGCCCCCACATCTAGAGCAAAACTTAAGCTTCGGGCGCCCCACACCGATCTTTTCCGGCCCCCAACAACTACAAGCCCACTCTGTCAGCAGAAGGTCTAACGGGAGAGGCCGCCTGTTCCCTCACGCTCCTTGCTTCCCTGTTGCTGACAGAGGCCGTGAAGGCAGACGCAGCAGAGCGAACTTCGAGTTGGGGGCTTTAGGCGCTTCGGTCACCTACCGCCCTGGGCGCCGCCATCTTGCTAGGGTTACGCGACCGGAAGGGGCCGCCTTTGCGGAAGTCCCGCCCACAAGGTACTCTTAGACTTCTTTACTTAACGTCGCGGGCGTGCGGTTTTCCAACCCTCCGGCTGGAGGCGCGCGCCGGTTTACTGCCCTCAGCGCCCCTTCCGTTAACCTTAGAAGGGGGCTCTAAAGTCTTCCCCTCAGAGAGGATGGACATTCCTTCCCCTCCTTCTGCAGTCACAGTAACCCTGAGCGTCCCCTTCTCAACAGCTCTGACTGCCTCCTTAAAGCAAGCAGCGCCCCCGCCGACCCCCCTGTGGCGCGACGGGTTAAAGCTCTCCGAAGCCACTGCAGCACGAGTTCGGTCCCTCGCTAGGGAGCTGACCCACATGGCGCGGCAGACCTTTCTTGACCCGCCTGCGGCTCCTCTAAGCAGTGTGTTTCAGTACATCAGCCTGTCTGCTCCCCACTCTGTCTCACCCACCACACCTCTGGCCTGTACCCCAGTTCTGTAAACAAGTCACCATTCTTTTTTTTTTAATATATTTTTAAAGATTTATTTATTCATACAGAACTGGGGTACAGGCCAGAGATGCGGAGGGTGAAAGGATTCACCAGGGACAGAGTGGGGAGCAGAACAGGCAGATCGATGAAGTCCACTGCAGAGGGGAGCAGCGGGCGGGTCAGGAGAGGTCTGCTGCGCCATGTGGTCACCTCCGGGGCAGGGGGGATCGAACTCATGCGAAGTGGCTTAAGCTTCTTAGTGCTGCGCTTTAACCCGCTGCGCCACCAGGGAGGGCCAATAAGTCACCATTCTTTAAACCAGGGTCTGGGAAGGAGATTAGACATAAAGTTAGAGACCGAGGTGAGCGCCAAAGACTAGTATTGTTTGCCTTCTCAGTTTGGAGTTCAGGACTAGAAATCAGTGTGAAGACTCAACTGAAATCTGTCAATGGAATTACTCAGTATGGTAGACATTGCCCTGTGTGCTGAGCTCACAGTGGTGACCAGGAGGTAGCAACCTCTCGGAGTCAATATCCTAGGTAGGGAGAGTGTGAATCAGAAACAAATGAATAAGCAACATCATTTCAGACAATGTTGATAAGAGGCAAATAACAGGCAATGTAATAGGGAGTGACTGGGATATAGACATCAATAAAGACACCTCTGAAAAGGTGACAGCTATGTGTACGTGGCTGCGTGTGAAGGTTAAGGAGGAAACAGCCATTCAGAGATTGGGGGCTGGGGGGCTTAGGGTGTTCTGAGAGATGTAAGACCAGTGCAAGGCCCAGAACTGGGAACTGGCTTGCAGAGAGGGGACGGGCTCACAAGGGTGGGCAGGCAGCCGATTGTGCAGGACGGGCCAGATTTTCTTCCATTCCCTGGGGAATGTCCTGATCTCATTTACAACTTGTAAAAATCATTTCTGCCAGGTGGACAACAGGCCTAAGTGGGCAAGGGTGGAAGCAGGGGGCAGCAAAGAGGCTACTGCCATGGTCCAAGCAAAGGATGAATGGGGACGGGAGGGGGCTGGGCAGGGGAGAAATGCCCAGTGGTGAGAAGTGCTCAGATTGTGAGTGGTTATTTTTAAAAGATTTATTTATGTACATAAGAACTGGGGTACAGGCCAGAGGTGTGGGGGGTGAGAGGGTTCACCAGAGACAGCGCGGGGAGCAGAACAGGTGGATCCACTGAAATACACCCCTGAAGGTGAGACAGGAGAGGTCTGCTGCGCCCTGGGGGTCACCTCCCTGGGCGGGGATCAAACTCGTGCTGCAGTAGCTGCAGATAGCTTCATGGTGCTGCACTTTGACCCCTTGCACCACCAGGGAGGGCCCCAGATTGTGAGTGTTTTGAAGATTGAGCCAACACCTGGAGAATGGAAAGGATGTGATGCTGCTTATGCAGATGGGGGAACTGAGAAAGCAGGGTTGGAGGGGCAGCTGCGGGAGGCCGAGTGTGCCGTGCCTTACGGGCGTTTCCATCAACCACAGACTGCACTGTGGCACCCTGGGTCTCGAGGGTTGGCAGAGGGAGGCCCAGTGCCTCCAACCAGGGCCCATGCTGATGGTGGTGATAGCTGTGGTGAGTTGAGGGTCCATAGAATTGGCTGCTCGGTTGTGGGGCGGGACCCTGAGGTGTCCTGACTGAGGGATGGTCCCCAGGAGACCGCTCCTGGATCCTCACGTACTCTGGTTGGGAAGCCCTGGGGTGGCCAGAGTAGAAAAGAGAGGGATGGACCAAACCAGTGGCCAAGTTGAAAAGATGGCATAGGAGGCTCAGGAGGACTGGCAGGAGGTGCCGAGGGGCAGGAGGGGAAGCTGTGAGGACCCCAAGGGGCCCAGCGGGGCAGAGGCAGGGATGAGGAGTGGAGGGGCTGTGAGCAGAGCTGAGGGTAGACTTCAGAGGAAGGCTGCTGATACCACTGGGAAATGGACTTTGGGTGCCATCCTGCCCCCTCCCTTCATGGCCCTTTACTCCTCCCACCCCTGTGCCCTAGAGGCCTGGGTCACTCTGGACCTTGCACCTTCCTGCTCCTCACAGCCTCCTCTGCCCAGAGACTATGGAGCTGTGGCAGCAGCTGAAGCAGGCAGGACTAGTGCCCCAGGGCCTGGGCCCACCCCCCAGGGCCCTGACCGGAGTCCCCCCAGAGGGGAGAGATGACCAGGCTGTCGTGTCCCCAGGGGCAGACACCGGCAGTGCCAGGGAGAGCCTGCTGTGGATCTGGGAGGAGCTGGTGAGTATGCGGTGTAGAGGGTTAAGAGATGGCGCTAGGTGGGGGGAGACAGAGGAAGGGTAAGTGGATGGGGCCATGGATCGGAAGTAGAAAGACCAGAGACTGCAAGGTAGAAATTATGAAAGAGGATAGAAAGATGGAGACAGGGACAGGCCGGTGAAAACAGAGATAGACAGCGAGAGAGACAGTGACAGATGCAGACACGCGCCGGTAACACAGAGGTTAGATAGTGGGGGGCACTGAGGTGGAGCAGGAGGCGGGGAGACGGGGACACTTGGATGGTGGAAGGTGAGCAGCTGCGCTGGATGGTGTTAAATGGCAAAAACCAGCGTTGATGAACTTCAGCTTCTGATTGGCTTAATCAAATGATGAGCGAATCAGACAGAATCCCTCTGGTAAGCAGACAAGTATGCAGAAAGCTGCACAAAGCGAGAGGCTGACCTGCGCGGAACAAGGGCAGGTGCGCGAGAGGGATTGTTTCAGGCTCCGTTAACGGGCATGAGGTGTGGGAGCTTCTTACAGATTGTTTCATTTCTCTGGGGAACGGGAAAGACGACCCCTCTGGGGCTGCCCGGAAGGTTCCATCCTGACCCGTTAGGCCCGCGCTCCTCGGGCGTGAGCTGCGGGCGGCCGGGATGGGCTAGGTCGTCAGTCTGGGCGGGCTTAGCCACGCACCTCCGTTCCGAGCCCGTCAGGGCCCAAACAGCTCCAAGAGAGATCAGGTAGGGGCCGGGGTTCTTGGGAAAACTGAATTTTACCAGGAAGGGCATGGATGGGCCCAGGAGAAGTGCAGGAGGCTGAAAGAAGTTTGGTCAAGTAAAAAATCTCTGTCGGGACTCGGGCCAGGACGAGTCCCGTCAGCTGCTCCACCCGCCGGCGAGGGGCGTGCTGACCGCTGGCCCTCGGGGGGTGCCCACGACTTGCCCCTCCCACCAGGGGAACCTCCGCCGCGTGGATGTCCAGCTGCTGGGCCAGCTGTGCAGCCTGGGACTGGAGATGGGGCAGCTGCGGGAGGAGCTGCTGGACTTCCTGGAAGAGGAGGACGAGTTCGCGGAGCGCGCGGAGGGAGAGCAGGGCGACGCGCCGGAGGAGGACGAAGGACGCTGGGGGGCCGCCTGCCCGGGGCCCGGCCACCGGCCCCCTGACTTTGAGATGACCATCTAGGCCCGCCACGCGAGTGCAGCTTACCTTGCGCTCCTCCCGCGCGGTCAGCCTGCAGCCGCTGAGCTAGAGCCAGCTCACGCACCTGCCTCCAGCGCGTTCTCGCGCTCTCTGCCGGCGTCGCCAGGCCCGGTTGGCCTGAGAGCGGAGCGAGCTTGCGCAGGATGGGGGAGGTGCGCAGAGGAGCCGGAAGTGTATTTGCCGGTGAGCTGTGGGTCTCTGCCCCTGGGGTGCGGAGGCTTGCGGATCAGGGCCCTGCGGTGGGGTACACTCTGCCCCGTGGAGCTACTGAGCCCTGAAATGCGGCTCGTCCGAGTTGAGTGTTACACACTCTGCGCTTGCAAGGCTCATAGGACAGAAAATAGAAAACATCTCAGTCATCTTGAAAAGTAATTGCATGTTGAGACGTGAATGCAAATACAAATAAATCAGAATAGGATGAAACGATCTTCATCTGTTTAACGCTTGTGGCGGTAACATCACATAACGGGGCCTTTTGACCACTTTTAGTGTGGCCCCGGGGGCCTGTGAAGGATAGTCACGCCGGGCAGCAGCCGTTAGCGGCGCCCAGCTCCAGAATGCTGGTCGCCTCACCCCTCGCCCGCCAGCCCTCGCCCCTGTAGGGCCCTCGCGTAAGTGAGCTCATGGAGTATTTGGCCTTTGGGGTCTGGCTCATTTCACATCACACCGTCTTCACATTTCGTGGGTGCTGTAGGCTTTTTTAAGGCTGAGTAATATTCCATCGTGTGCCCCGGCCATTTTGTTTTCCTGTCCGTCGTGACGTGAGCACTTGGGTTCTCTCTGCTTTTGGCTGCTGTGAAGAACACACTCCAGGTCCAGGATGCTCTCCCAAATGTGTACACAGACTTTCCTCAAGACGAGTCCAGACCAGTTTTTCTCCTCCAGCATGTGTAACCTTGGAATGTGGGAGCAAGGTCAGCGGAGGCTTGGTGGGCCTCCGGAAAAACTGATGCCATCACCCTAAAGCACACAGATCACCCAGTTAGAGTCACCCCCAGAAGTAACCTCTTTGTGAGCGAAACCTACCTAAAGACAGGGCAGACAGGCGCGTTTCTGTCACATGAAGTGGTCCCCTCCCTTGTGAGACCCCCCACCTTTCTCCTTGACAACACCCAACTTCTATTCCGTTCCTTAGCCCAGGACATAAACCCTGACTTTCCCATAACTTTAGAGTTTACAGTCATGTAGATTCTCTGTGTGTTTGTGATTAAATTTGGTCTCCTCCTGCTCATCTATCTGTTGTTAATTTGTGTGCTTGTCCAGCCTGAGGGTGTTCACCTGTGCCCTGACTTGGGGGTGCAAACATCTGCTCACGTCCCTGTTGGCACATGCCCAGGAGCACCCAGGGACCCCCTCAAACGAATGGCTCTAAAGGGATTCTGCCATTCGCCTCATGAAAACAAAGGTAGACCCTTCGTGTGAGCATTAACAGAAACATAGAGTATGCATAGAGACAGAAGAGACTTTTTAAAAAGATTTATTTGTGCACACTGCAGTACAGGCCAGAGGTGTGGGGGTGAGAGGGTTCACCTTCACCAGAGACAGAGTGGGGAGCAGAACAGGGGAATGACTGAAACACACAGCTGAGGGGAGCAGCGGGGAGACAGGAGCGGTCTGCTGCGCCCTGAGGGTCAGCCCCTGGCCAGGGATCAGACTTGTGCTGAAGCGGCTGCCGCTAGCTTCGTAGTGCTGCATTTTAACCTGTTGCTCCACCAGGAAGGGCCCAGTAGAGAAGCTGTTTTTCCCCAATAAAATGCCACACATTACCCATCCTCTCATGGGCAGTTGCCCAGCCAAATAGGCTCAGCTCAGAGTGGGGCTGCTGAGGCCAGAAGCTGGCTACAGATCTAAGGCAAATCTGGAGGAGAAACACGAGAAGGGGTGAAGGGCCTGGAACACAGGGCCAAGAGCAAGGTATAAATCAAGGCCAGGCCGCTGCTGTCCCCCTCCCCGCGTCTCCTTCCAGGACCAGGGTGCAAGCTGGTGGCAGATCCAAAGTGGGGACAGGGAACAGGTCACCTCTCCTAAGGCCACACTGGGTGTATACTCAGGTGGAGTGGTGGAGTTCTGGAATGGTGTAGGGATTCTTTACTTTTTTTTTAAGTTTTACTTATTGATGCACACAGAACTGGGGTACAGGCCAGAGGTACAGGGGTGGTGAGGGGATTCATCAGAGACGGAGTGGGGAGCAGAACAGGCCGACTGACGAAGTTCACTGCTGAGGGGAGCAGCGGGAGAGACAGGAGAGGTCTGTCACGCTCTGGGGGTCACCTCCCTGGGCAGGAATCCAACCTGTGCTGCAGTGGCTGCAGAGAGCCTCACAGTGCTGAGACTTAGCCCCTTGCGCCATCAGGAAGGGCTGCATTATCTATTTTTTTAAAAATTTATGCACATAGAACTGGGGTACAGGCCAGAGGTGGAGGGTGAGAGGATTCACCAGAGACAGAGTGGGGAGCAGAACAGGCAGAGCAAAGAAGCACACTGCTGAGGGGAGCAGCGGGGAGACAGGAGAGGTCTGCTGCGCCCTGTGGGTCACTCCCTGGCCGGGGATCGAACTCGCGCTGCAGTGGCTGCAGACAGCTTCACAGTGCTGTGCTTTAACCCCGCACCTCCAGGGAGGGCTGTGTGTTTACTTTCTTGGCTGTGCCTTTGACAGCCCCACCAGCAGACAGCAAGCTGGCGTCTCCACTCCGTGCCAGTTGGAACTTCTTATTTCCTTGTGTTTTTTCTCCTCTGTCCTCCCAGTGGGGGGCGGGAGGGGTGAGGAGATAGCTCACTGGTACAGATTTGCATTGAGGAGTCATACTGAGCACCTTCTGCTATTTCATCTCTTCTATCTGTAACAGGATGCTAAGAAAATGCACATGTAGCGCCCGCTGTGTTTCTGTGGCATGCAGGATCTCTGACCTTTGTGACTGGAATGTGGGTGTGAGCCGGTGAGGACGAACAGGGAGGGTTTGTGGACAGACATTCCACACGTTGCTCCTTGGTGTACCTGCAGGAGACAGGTCAGTATGCCCCTGCCACGCCCAGGAGAACCAACTGCAAGGGTAAAGGTCACACTGCCAGCGCCACCCTGCTGGAAAGCTGCCCCTGAAGCAGGTGGGAGGCCCCAGCAGGCTGCAGACAGCGCTTCTGGGGCACCAGCCATGTTCCTATGCATAAAACCATTGCTCCCGTGAGGACAGTTCTTCATCAAAGCTTTCTAGTGCAGAGTGAGCTCCCCAAGAGTGGGAGCTATAGGGTTCAGGGTTCATCTTCAGCCTGGTCTTCCGTTTCCAAACTGAGCCAGGTCTGTGGCTCCAGGGGGGTTGGGGAGAAAGTCGAAAGTCAGGCCCCGCCTCCAGGAAGAGAGACACCCCAAGAGCTCCCTTTATAATATTGCACTTTGAATTTATTTTTAAAAGGTTTGTTTATGCATCAGAGCTGGCATGCAGGCCAGAGGTGCAGGGGGTAACAAGATTCACCAGAGACAGAGCGGGGACCAGAAACAGGTGCAGCTACTGAAACACTGCTGAGGGGGCCAGTCAGGGTTCAAACTCATGTCGTGGTGGCTGCCCACAGCTGGGTACTGCTGAGACTTGACCCCTTGTGCCACCGGGGAGGCCCATCACATCGCACTTTGAACACCTGCCCCTGCCCGCTCCCAGTTGAAAGTCCAGTCCCACCCGCAGGGAGACACCCCAGGGGAGGGGCCAGCGCTGCGCCGGCAGCCAGTGCGTGAGGATCACGCCAGCAGAGCCCCGCCCCTCCCGGCGGCAGTGACGCTGCCTCAGCACACCTGAGCCGGGCGCAGCAGAGGGCAGTCCGCTGTGGGCGGGGCTCCGCGGCCAGGTGGGCAGGGTGGCCTGAGCCCCCTGTCCCCGCTCCCCTGTCGGGTCAGAAGCTGCCTTTTCCAGGGTCTGCAGCCCTCCCTGTACCCTGGCTGCGGGGGGTGGGGTGGGGGTGGGGGTGGGGAGTCTCCCACCCCTCATCATGGGGTCACCGGTCCCCGTGCAGCCGCTGAAGCAGCACCTGCAAGGTGTCACCTGGACATTCCGATTTTATCAAGTGGCCTAATGCTGAGACTGCGCTCCCTCGGGTCTGTGGCCCTGGCCCTCTTTCCCAAGAGGAGGAGGCGGAAGGGAGGGAGCCTGGAGGAGGGGGAGAGGGGGGAGGAAGAGTCACTCTGTGTATAGGGAGGGGACATCCCTGTGACACGATGAGGACCCCAGGCTCCTGCTCTGAGGGGAGAAGTCGGAGAGAGGAGAGAGGGTGTGAGGAGGATGTCGTGCTCCCTAACCTGGGCCTGTGGGGATGCTGGGCACAGACACCTCAGACTGGGCCGGACATGGACGCATGTTTGCGGGTTTCTGTGTTTGCTGGTCAGAGCGTCCAGGTGAAGGTGGCAGACTGCAGCGGTTCCCGGGAGCTGAAGGTGGAAGAAAGGAAACGGGACAGGACTGGGCGGGCGAGCTGGTGGGAGATGGGAAAGGCAGGACCTAGGGACAAGGACCCGCCCGCGGTCACGTGACCAGGCACTCCTGGCCGGTCAGCACGGAGGGGGAAGCTGTTTAGGGCTGACACTCGGGGCAGCCGCGTCTGGAGCCTTCTGGAGCCCAGCCCCTCCCTCAGAGGAGCCCAGAGCAGGCGCCAGACGCCATGGAGGCCCCCTCAGCCCATGGACACAGAGGGCGAGTCCCCTGGACGGGGCTGCTGCTGGCAGGTGAGGGGCCTTTCTGGGGGCGGGAGGAGGGAGACCAGGGCTCCCTAGGAGGGCTGGGTCTGAGCGGGGACTGAGGACTCCTGGCAGGGCCAGTGGGTGGAGAATGGAGGGGCTGGAACGAAGCAACAGGAAGTTCTCCGGGTCTGGATGTGGTGAGGGCCCGAGACACCCATCACTTCCTAAATGATTTATCCCTGAGAAGTGATTTTTGGAAACCGGCTTCCCTAATAACAAAAGGTCACTTCATAAAAAATGGCAGAAAGAGCGCTAAATTCCCTTACTCGCCGCCAGCAGAGCCTGGCAGGTTCACACCAGGACATGCTCTCACCCTCAGGGTCCGGCCCACCACAGAGGGGACAAGATCAGACAGGCCCCTGCCTCCATGGAGCTCACATTCCTGAGGACAAGTATGGACATCAAAGATCTAGATGGTGCTGTCTTTCACTGCTGCCCAGGGTCCTGAAGGGGCAGAGCAGGGAAAGACCTTGGCAAATCAACACGGAATATAGAGGCCCAGGGGACACACACTCCCTCATCCAGAGGAACTGACGCCTGGCCCAGCACTGGCAGGAGACCCAGGGAGCTCAGGGGCTCTGGGTGGTGAGAGAGATGACAAAGATCCAATCATCCAGCGAGCAGTCAGGAGCTGACAAGTGTCTGAGGCCACAGGGCAGGGAAAGGTCACACCATCAGGGCAGAGGGTCCCAGAGCCGGGCCAGGGAGGCATCTCCCAGGACGCCCTGGGGCGAGCAGGGTCAGAGCAGGGAGGGTGAGGAGGACACACACCTGGGGAGAGTACTCAGAGAGAGAGAAGAACCAGGTAGAGGGGCTGGGGTGCAGAGGGGGTGCTGCTGACCTTGAATATGTAGAACACAAATACACACCCCCCCTCAAATCTGAGGGGTTCTGGACCTGCTCCGTCCGGACCTCCCCTTCCCATCCCAATAGTTTGGTCCAGATTCTGATCAGTGTCTCTCCCTTCCCCCCAGGCTCACTCTTAGCCTTCTGGGTCCTGCCCGGCGCTGCCCAGCTCACTATTGAACCAGAGCCCGTCAATGCCATCGAGGGGGGGAACGTGACTCTGCATGTCCGCGGTCTGCTAAAGGAGGCTGGAATCTTCAAGTGGTACAAAGGAGGAAAAGTGGACAGTAAAACGCTTATTATGTCATATAAAGTAGGGGTTCCAGCAGATGGCACAGGGCCTGCACACAGCAGCCGAGAGACGATAAACCCCAATGGATCCCTGCTGGTCCGGAACGTCACCCAGGAGGACACGGGGCCCTACACCCTACAAATCACGTATGGAGATTTTGAAGAGGAAGCAGCAACTGGATGGCTCCGTGTTTACCGTGAGTAGCTCCTCCCGGGCCTCTGGGTTTGGGGGTGAGCCCTGCTTCACACACGGGACTCACAGCCCGGCTGTGCCTCATCACCCCAACTGCGTGTCATGTTGGGGTCGAGCCTTTATCCGGGAGTCGCGGAGCGGAGCGGGCGCTCAGACCGACGACCCCCTGAGCCCAGCCTGCCCCGCGGCCTGCGGGAGGGGGCCAGTCTGAGGGAGGCGAGAGCGGAGGGGGGCACCTCCGCCCCGGGCCCTTCCCGTGGCCCCAAAAGACACCCTGAGAGACGTCGTCGGGGCCTGACCAGGGAGCCTGGATCCTCGCAGCGAAGCTCCACCCCAGGAAGCCCCGGACCAGCCCCGTCCCAGGGCTGCAGCCGGGCCCACACCCATGAGCCTCCTCTGGGCAGGGGAGAGCCTGCCCCTTCCCCTGAGACCACTGGGGGTGGAGACTGCTGGTACCCACAAACTTAGCTGATAGCTCTGGGGACTTGTCCAGGTTCTGGGGCGTAGCTGCCAAACACAAGGGCCCTCGAGCCAGAGTCCACGCAGGCTTGTGTCTCACTGTCCACAAGTGACCCCTCCTGCTGCTCATCCCAGGAGGGGGTCAGGGACGCTGGCAGGGCCCTCAGCTGCCCTCCCAGAGGAGCCGAGGAGATGAGGGCAGAGGCCTGGCTCTGCCGCCAGCCAGCTCCTGCTGCCCCTCACTGTGTTCTAGAACCTTCCTTGGTCCTGTCAGCCACACCATCCCCTGGGCAGGGCTGCCCACCGCATGGGCCTGCAGCCTGAGGCGGACTGGCCATGGCTGGCCCTGGTCTCTGCTTACCTATTTTTGCACAGAAGAAATGAGGCGTCAGGCAGGTGCAGTGGTTGAGAGGATTCACCAGAGAACAGGCAGATCTGGGGTAGCACACTGCTGAGGGGAGCAGCGGGAGACAGGAGGGCTGCTGTGCCCTGGGGGTCAGCGATGCTTGATGGCGCTGAGACTCACCCCTCGGCCGCTCGTGGGGCCCCGTGCTGTTTCTGCTGAAACCCCCCTTCCAGGCCTGCTGTGGGGTCTCAGACTGTGGGTCCCTCCGCACCCAGCTCCAGGAAGCCTGGGGGAGGCCTCAGGGAAAACACAGCTCAGCCCCGCAGTGTGGTGTGAGCTGCTGGGGGGCCTGCACCCCACCCCGGGGAGCAGCAGGCCAGCACCCCCGCTCAGGGAAGAAGCAGCAGGAGCTGGCCCCGACTCCTGACCAGGCCTGTTGCACCCTGAGCCGAGCTGCAGGAGAGGCTCTGTCTTGTCGGGCGTGAGCGGGCCCCGAGTGGGCCTGGGGCGCCCACCCGCCTGTGCGGAGGACGCGGGTGGGCGGCTGAGGCAGGACAACTCGGGGGGACCCTGCAGGAGTCAGGGCCGCCTCAGGGCTGTGTCCTCTCTGTCCCCCACAGCCGTGTTACCCAAACCCCACATCACGAGCAACAACCCCGACCCTGTGGAGCACCAGGACCGCGTGGTGTTAACCTGTGAACCTAAGACCCCGGACACCACCTACCTGTGGTCCATCAACAGCCAGAGCCTCCCGGACAGCGACAGGCTGCAGCTGTCAAGGGGCAACAGGACCCTCACGCTGCTCCCGGTCACCAGGGCTGACGCAGGGCTCTATGAGTGTGAGACCTGGAACCCAGTGAGCGCCCGCCGCAGCGACCCTTTCACCCTGGATGTTCTCTGTGAGTAACTTCTGTCCCAATGCCGTCCGGCTGCCCCACCCACACAGCCAGAGCCCAGACCCCATCGTCCCTCGCAGGCCCGAGTGCACGACCCTCACCCTGGGCACCCGGGCTGGTCATGACCTCCCGTCCCAGGCAGACCAAGCAGGCCCTGTCCTGAGCCAAGACTAGGAGGGACAGGCTGTTCCTAGGCCGGGGGGCTCAGGGTCCCCAGCCTGTGGGAGCATCTCAGACTCAGGAACTGAACTTGAGAGTGATGCTGGGACTTGCTAAAACAAAGTGACGCCGCTCGGAGGGACGCTGAGGCCCGCATGGCCCAAGAGCGCCCTCCCGCTGATGCCATCATGTGTGGCTTTGTTCTGTTTACTCCAGATGGCCCGGACACCCCCACCATCTTCCCCTCAGAATCCTTTTACCACCCCGGGGACGTTCTCAACCTCACCTGCTACGCAGACTCTAACCCGCCCGCGCAGTATTCCTGGCTGGTCAGCGGGAGGCCCCAGCACCCCACACAGGCGCTCTTTATCCCCAACATCACCATGAGTGACAGTGGCGCCTACACCTGCCAGGCCCACAACAACGCCACAGGCCTCAACAGCACCACAGTCAAGAATATCACGGTCTCCGGTAAGTGGCTCCTGGACCGTCGGCACCAGGCTCTGGCTGGGGGATGTTGGTTTCCAAAAGGGACTGAAAGTTCCGCCTACCACCGTGCCCACGGACAGAGCCCCAAATCGCGGGCTGAACCCCGTCCCCCACGCCTGGGGGCCTCCTTGCTTTTAGATTCCAAGCGGCAGGTGGGGGCCCACCTAGGAGGCGGGAGTCCTCTCGGGCTCAAATTTCTTTTTTTTAAGCTTTTATTTCTTCGTACATATAGAACTGGGGTGCAAGCCAGAGGTGCAGGGGCCGTGAGAGGATTCACCAGAGACAGAGTGCGGAGCAGGGCAGGCAGACTGACAGAGTGCACTGCTGAGGGGAGCAGCGGGGAGACAGGAGAGGGCTGCCGCGCCCTGGGGGTCACTCCCTGGCCGGGGAGCGAACTTGTGCCGCCGTGGTGGTGATCCCCAGCGCTGAGACTTGTACCTCTCTCTGAGCCCCCAGAGAGCCCCATCTTTACAAGTCTTTCCAGACGCCTTTCCTTTTCCTTGTGTCTCCTTTAATTCCTCTTGGTCTGTGATATGCCTCCGTGTACAAGTGTGTTGTGGTCTCGTTGGCTAAGTTTCCCCGTAAGTATTTTATTCCCTGATGTTCTGTTAGGCAGAAGTATGCTCTGAATTTCTTTGCCAACAGTTCATTGTGGCCCCCGGAGGCACAGGGGTTAAGTTTCAGCCAGTCACCACTGCAGTCTGAGTTGGATCCTGATCCCAGCCAGGGAGTGACCCCCCCTCGCCCCCCTCCCCCTGCAAGGCAGACCTCTCCAGTCTCCCTGCTGCTCCCCGCTGCTCCCCTCAGCAGTAGATCCCGTGTTCTGCTCCCCACTCTGTCTCTCTCTGGTGTGTTTTCTCACCCCCCACTTCTGGCCTGCACCTCAGTTCTTGTATGCATAGAAGTATCCAAACAGCTCACGGTCAGTGCGTGGAAAACAGCCGCGGTGCGCGTGCACGTGTTCTTGTGTGTGTGCGCGCGCACTTCACAGCCGCGGTGTGTGTGTGTGTGAGCTTCACAGCCGCGGGGTGTGTGTGTGTGTGCGCGCGCTTCACAGC